TCTCTTGCTATTCGTCTTATTTTGCTCCTCTCTTGTAGACCACTTCCCGGACGACTGTTGGAGGTGGACCACGTTAAATGGTGGCCTCTGGTGTACATAGACGATTCACTGGAGACACAGAAAGCAGCAAGGAACCCAGGCTGATGCGATGGTGGACTCAGTGTGGTTTGAAACACGCTCAGATCTGCATGGCCGCGCTGCTGTTCATCATCCTCTGGACGCTGCTGATAATTATTCTTTGGACGCAGGACACAGACTACACAATCGATCACACCTTCAAATGTGAGCCCCTCATTTAGGGGTTCATTCTGTTGTGCCTAATGACGTGTTTTTTCACTCACATTTTATAGGGAAGCAGAGAAGTAAAAACATTTTCACGGGACTCGTTTATATATTGTGATGCAAGCAGGAAACATGCAATATATGTCTACAATGGCGGGTCTTTTCAGACAAGATATCGTTAGCCCCTTGAAAATCCAAGTTGACAGCCATTTGTTTAAGATGGCCACAAATGAATTCGATTTTCCCTACAGAAATTGACCGAGTTGTCCAGGTTTAGATGATTTAAGTGTCCATTTCTACATTTTTTCCCCCACGAAGGATATGTTGAAGTAGTCATCCTACAAGCACTTCAGTTTGTGGGAATGTTTTAATACGGTTCGTATATAAAATCACAGTTAAGGCATGGTGCATATAAAACACACATGGCTATGGCACAGCCATAGAGTACAAAGAAGGAGCAGAGACAGACATAATCTCTTAAGGATCATGAGACTCCCTTCCCTCCTCCATGACAATTAAATAAGCAGTTCCCACGACAGAATAATTAAATATCAAACTTTGGAGATGCAAATGTATATTATGTGGATGATTAGATAGTGTGACCAACGGCTGAGAAAAAAGTTTCTTCACGTCTTCCATTGATAATAATTAACATAATCCAACTGCAACACATTTAATGACACTAATTTCCATTATCCAGCATCAAAGCTCATATAATGAAGGTGAGATACGCGAACGGATTTTATAACAAAAACTTTGGACCAGATAGCTTCACAAAGAAGACTCCAAACCACCTCCACCTCAAGCTTTAATTTAGTTGCTGCTATTTACTCGTTCATGAAGACTACATTTTACACCGGAGTATGAATGGCTTGTGAAGGTGAACATCGCTGAGAATGTGAATGCTTGATGTTATTATATCTTGGTCAGCTCACAATGCATCTCAGAAGAAAAGCCAACCATTTCAAGTAAAACTAAACAATTTTTATATTAGCAGGTAAGGCTCACTGAGCAAAATAACTCTTTTTCAGAAGCGACCTGGCCATAAATTAAAGCTCAAGAAAGTGGCTCATCATATGGAACGTATAGCAGCCATATACTCTAAAACATGTTTCTAAATGTTGAGGGAAATATCAGAGGACCTGGAGAAAAATCCACGTGACCACGGAGAGAACATACAAACTCCAAATATGCAGGCGTCAGGATCGGGGTTGAACCCACGGCCTCCTGTGTAGTTATAATCTCGCCACCGAGGAACCCTAAGACACATTTCGTTGGTCAGAATCGCATTACGATTGCTTCTCCTTAGAAATAAGGCAAATTCTGTTGCCACCATGAAGCATGAATCAAGTCAGAGACAGCAGCATTTCTATATCCAGAACAAACATCTGTGATTACTGCCGACCAGCGAATCTATGCATTTGCCAAGTGCACCCAAGGTCATCAGATAACAGCACTGAATACTGCCGCATAGCAGCTTTCAACTCAGAAGACATAATCCGTTTTATTGATTGGTATGAAAGGCGTAGACATTAGTTTCAATCATAGTATGTAGTGCAGTAAATGGAGCTGTCAATGTTCACAGTGGTATAGTCAAATAGAGAAGGAAACTGCACTGAACTTTAAAGCGATATATAAATTGATACCATTACTATTTTGCCAACAATGATGTGAATTAAGCACGATGGCTTCCAATTCACCTCAGAGACACGATGTCCTTGAAGCATCAGCATACACAATTGGCAAAGGTGTTTCGAATGGAAAACTTTGTTGCACGCAAATCCGATCGGTAATTCTCAGAAATGGGCTATCGATCAGGCTTACTAGCAGACCAATTCACTTTTTGGAGGGGCCTTTGGTACGACTGGTAATCCAACTGCACTTCGGTGGATGGTTGGCTGGTCCTGAGTTGAGCAAACTAGTCGATCCATACGAGGCAGCATCAGGTGCTAATTATGCAACAGAGCAGCAGCCATTAAAGTCAATCAGAAATAACTCCAAGGTATTCAATTTAAAGTCTAAGTAATCTTACCAGTGATGCAGGACATAGGTAATCCATTTGAAAAAGAGGCAAGTGACCTGCTCACATTAGAAACCAAGGATATTGCGAATCCTAGTCTTGCTGATGAAATTAGAATGGTATATAATAGGCAGCGTGCAGTGCCTCCAGTCTAAATAAATATTATGATTCTGTTCATATAATTCTTGGAGGGTGAATGATTGTTTTATAATAACCCATCAATAAGAACAAGGTTGCTTTCTAAAACCAGGCTAATAATTTCCAGTCACCTAAGCAAAACTCAGTGAATGAAGATTGTCAACCGCTATCTCTCAACTCGTCCTGCCACAAAGCATGCAGAGTGTGACTTAGGTGAAATTTAAGGGAATTAAAACATTTACCGCTCCTACCACTTTGAGTGGAAACAGGAAGTTTCACGCCTGTCAAAAATATCTGTGCAGGGAGGGCAGGTAGGATGCTTAGGATAGTGCTTGGAGTGTCCCAACTATGTACAGGGGCCTCCGTGTGTGTTTAGGTCGAGGAATGTATATACAGTTAGCGCTCGCAGCAGCCTTGGCATCACGTAAACCAAGGCGAATGTGTTATTTACCTTCGCAAAGCCAGATTGATCCAGTGTTATCGTAAACAACCCTATGAATCCACAAATTTTAGTCCACCATTCGTATTGTTACATGAGTTGTGTGGTGCAGAACGACTCGAAGACAGAACTTCTAGTAAGGGCTTGTGCCGGTTTATTGACAAGGGGTAACAACTTACACAAGAGGTAGGTGTTCCTACACTCGGTCCTTCACGTGGACCTCGGCTCTATCTATCCTTAGCCTCGGCTATCCTCGTGGGTTCTCTCACTCGAGTCGGCTCGGGGGTTAAGCCAACACCGACCGACACCGCACCTCGAGTAACTTTAGCCGGCTCTTACAGATTTCTCCGAGCCCTACCCCTGGCTATCTCTTTGGCTCCCCTACTCGTAGAACCCGGATGGAGGATCAGCCAACACCGTCCGGTCATGAGCAGGAGACCTCCTTCAGACGCTCTCCATCCCGGGCTCCCACAACGACCACGCTTTCGTCACCGGGTCCCCCTTAAGTAGCTCCCGTGACATGACGTCATCGCGCCTCACAGTGCGCATGACGCCACATCGTCATCGCGCCTCACAGCGCGCATGACGCCACGTCGTCATACCACTCCTCTGGACATGCACAAGTACTGTGACAAACTTGATTTGAAGCTTTCGTGACTGCAGGAATGATTCTTTGTTTCTTTCGGTACCGAAGTAGTAGACTTGCAACGATGATCTCTTGCTGGGACTAAATAATGACCATATTGTAACATGCCTGAGGTGCTGGATGCAATCTCTCGTCTCGTGGCAATTTTGTCTTTTAGAGGCTTGATATTTTATCTGCGGGACCTATTTGTAAAAAAATAGCACATGGCAAAGGGATAAATACATAAAAACTAAAATCTACAATAACCACCTGTTGTGAAAGTTAAGCTCCGCGTTCTGTAAATGCGTTCACAGGTAAAGAAAAAAATTCCCAGTGTAATACGCGGCTACGCGATGACCTCGGCACATATGAAGTTGGTGACGAAGATTTATCCGGGAGGCAGATGTTTCCCCGGAGAATAAAAAGCCGCCCACCATATGGTTTTAATGACACAAACCTTCATGATGATGACGACACAAATAGCATCGACACTTCCAGAAAAAGGTACATGTTCAGTATCACAGTTTCCACTGACTCAAATAACAACTCATGTCAATCCATGTGGGAGTCATTGCTGCAAAGGCCCCAATTAGTGTACTGCAGAAACGCACTTATTTTGGTGTACTCAGAAAAAAACAAACGAAGGACTTCTTTTTTTAAAACGGTTGTCATTAACCATTCAGGTGCCAAGATGTTCAACCACCAAATAGATACCTTTTGCAAGGCATTATCCAGTTGGTGTTTGAACATCTTAACACCTGTTTTATTGGCAGAAAGTGTCAAAGCTATTCCTATTTTTTCATCATTTTTTCATACTGGCGCAAATGTTTCATGGTCAAAAGAGAAGGGTCAGGGTTGTCAAGGGGCAATGCATTCGACAAATTACCATGGTGTTATAATGTATGCAAAGAGAGTGTGCTAAATATACCAATCACAACCTGGTTTGGCCGAGTGTAGTCTCCTTTTCAGAATGGCTGTCACAGTGTCCAGAATTACTATCTAAAAAAGAATCCGAGATTTTTCGTCCGAGTTTTGAACATCACCTGGTGTCATGCCTGGACTCATGATGATGGTCAAGGGGTAGTGTTGCACGACAAGTGTGTGAAGTTGTATGCATGTCTGTATGCATGTTGAAATTATTTTGCACCGTTCTCAACCAACCGTGCTATTTGGAGGTGCAGGGGAAGGACAAACTAAACAGAAAACGCAGTTTTTCAGAAATTAGTTTTCCATCTCGATTTAAAAGTGCATAGCTCCAGGGGCTTCCCAAGTTGAAACAGACGTTGGTCGGGCTTATGAAGCAGTAGGTCGGGCCTACGTCAGGAAAAGCAAGAACCCTCCGTGTAGACTGGGCTCGTGATCAAGTGGGCTTGGTTATGTGACGGTAGGAGGAATATCCTGCCAGCTCCTCCCAGCAATGTGGTAGCCACATAGCATACAGGACTATAGACACGGGGCTGTGAGTCCGTGCACATCGTTTACATGTCCATCAAAAATATTTTCTGATGATTGCTCGAGCAAATTAGATGTAAAAAAATTCCACTTCATTGACCGTCTGAAAGTTGACTAACCTAGACTGTCAAAAGCGCCGTGGTGACGTCACCACCACTTAGTGGGGAACGGTGATTGTTGTTGATCGGGTTGGTCATATGGTGGCGATTATGGTGATGGTGGTGATTGCAGTGATGGTAGTGATTGTGGTGATGGTGGTGATTATGTTTGTGCTGATGGTGGTGGTGATGGTGATTAGGTGGCGGAGACTCTGCACTTCTCGCTGGGACCCCGCTCTTCCCGTCATCTTCGCCGTGACCCCCACCTATGCTCGCGCCGTGCAGAAAGCGGATCTCACGCGCCTCTCGCACACCATGGCCCTGGTGCCCAACTTGCACTGGCTGGTCGTGGAGGATGCGCCCACGCCCTCGGCTCTCGTCTCCGCCGTGCTCCACAACGCCTGGCCGCTATCCTACACCCACCTGCACATGGAGACACCTAAACAGGACCCCCTTAAGGTGACCAATATCAGCTCGATCATAATCATTATAAGCTTGATCATCATCGTCAGCTTGATCATCATCTTGGTCAAACGATTGTACAGATGCTTCCAATGTGATAGGCACAACACCTAAAATACAATCACATGACACCAACATTTATTAGCATTATTCTTATTCTATCTAACATTATTCTATCTAACATTTTCATCTCATGAACACTGATGAACATGAGCAAAACTGTTATGCTCTGTAATGTTTCTATGTGCAATGTGGCTGGGCAGTCAGTGTCTTTCTTGTTCAGTGTACACCTGTAATGATTCGGACGACGAAGTACTAGAAGCGAATTTTATTAACACAAAAAAAATCTAGGTCCGGACTTGGTGCTTGATCTTGAAGCTGTACTTTCCCTCGAAAGTCCCCTCCCTTTGTGCTTTGCCCTTTTATATCGTCCCAGTTCCCTTCCTCGAATGTTCCCTCACTGTATTTCCCTTAGCCAATCCCTGTCCTTCCCCTCTAACAAATCTCAATCGTCGCCTCAGGGTTCCACTTTGTTTCCCACCAATTCTCATTCAGATCCTTTTCTCCAATGACTTCAAAAGCTTGCCTCCCGATCCCTCTAGAGGCATCTTTCCACCAATTGGAAACCTTGGTTTATCTTCGAATAGCAGGGAGGCTGCATATTGGCCTGGGTAATATTTTGGTCATTACACACTCATCATCATCATACACCACATACTTCTTCATCATCACCATGATCATGTCCAGTGGCTATTGTGAGCCAGGCATTATTGGGTCAAGAGCCTCGATTTTTTTTAATCTCAGGGGCTTGCACTTATGAGCAGGATTTAGAAGAACATTATCATTATAAGACATCAGGTAATACACAAAATAATGCGAAATCAGCCATGATGGAAGATTCCTGCAGCGCATTGTAAGTTACAGGCATCCCCCCTATAATCCTAAGGCTTCGTTCTTGGTAGGTGTGGACCTCTTTCGCACCGTACGTAGCCATCCATGCTAATTGGTGGTCGCAAACGGAGCGCTATATGAAACAGCGCTGTAGGAGGCCATTATTACATCACTCCAATGGAGATGCGTTCCCGGCCACTATCTTTTACCTATGAGCGATATGAGGACTTCATTGGAGTATCAGTAACGGCCTTAATAGTGATTCCGTATACAAAATAAATGTATTTCAGCATTTCATAAATTCAAACAATAACTTTTCATAATGGCATAAAACATACAATAATTGATTTACTCCGCAGTGCATTCGATCGGAGTTTGCGTAAGATTAACCACCGCCTACCGTAAACACACGTTCCGCGGGAAGTTGCATAGTGCAATTCAATGGGATTACTCATTGGTTTTTTCGGTAAAGTCACGTATGTAGGAATACCATAAATTATATTAAAACAAACCAAATCAATCACGACGTTTCGACCGCAACAAAAGCGATCTTCATCAGGTGTAAGAAACAAATCACGGAGGTAAATACAACAAGAAGATGAGAGAAGAGAATTCAACAAACCCAAGAAAAAATATGTGATGCACAACCAGTCAGGTCAACAACACAGTTAGACACTTACCTGGCGGACCACGAATTTCAGAGGAGTGTTAAATTTCGTGTTCAACCTCTGGATTGAACATACCAGCATAGACAGAGTGAACAAATACGAGGTACAAGTCAGAAATACATATACAGAGACACCAAGAGGCAAGGACGGACAGAGAAGTAAGGTCGGATGAAGCGGAAGCCTTAAATAAAAAGTGCGTAGCAGCCCATGCTTCCTCCTGCTCTGCCCTTTCTCTCTGGCCCCTCCCCCCAACTTCACTTCTTATTTAAGGCTTCCGTTTCATCCGATCTTACTTCTAAATCAAAATTTAACCACCTCTATAAGGAGGGTTTCCACATAACTTTAAGATCCTTCAACAAACTCCGGGATAAGAAGGCTCAGCTGATCGAGTCTCTCACCTTTCTGAAGAGATGCTGCGACTCTGGGGTAATACCAATCACATTTACACTGACCTCTGCTGCTGTAACTTCTTCTAATGCGAGACGAATTATTTTCAAAACTAGCTTAGCTCTTATCTCAGAGAAAATCAGACGTATACGCACTGAACTAGATCAGTTAGACAAGACACTCTACAAATCACACTTATCATTGACGGCAACAATGTCCACATCGGATTGGGAACATGTAGACAATATGACTGCATCTTCAGCTGCTACTATGTCGACCAAATGTAAGGACAACCTGATTTCCAAATTTAACCTCCTCTCCAACAAAAGACCGGACCCACACACCAAAAAGCTAGACGTTAACAAAGTCGTAATTAATCGCAGTAACAGTTCTATTTCCGATGGTCTGAAATCCGTTTTAGCTAAAGGTCTAAACTTTGCGTCACACCTAAACACAAGCCAGTTAATGATATCATTGCCCAAGTAGACGTGGCTCTCAAGGGCCTGGGTCACATCGCTGCAAACTTAGCAAGATCTGAAATCGCTGCAACCCTCAAAAATGCTAAGATGCCAGCGAGCAACCTCAGCAAAGATGAGAGTTTTGAATTATATAAATTTAAAAGAGGGATGACATTGTAATCCTCTCAGCCAACAAGGGAAATGCTACTGTGATCATGGATGCAATAGAATATAACAACAAAATTAAATAATTACTCGACGATGGCAGCTATACAAAACTAAAAAGAGATCCCACCAACAGCCTCGTCACACAAACCAACAAAATAATTTCTGATTCAACCACATTAATTGATCAAACTAAACAGTTTTCGTTGAAACCTTCTGCTACCAGGCCACCAAGATTATACGGCTTACCAAAAATACATAAAGTAGATACACCCCTCATCCCATCGTCTCTACTATCAACTCCCCCACCTACAAACTGGCTCGTTTTCTGTCTGAAATCCTGCGGCCTTTCACTGGAAAAACCACCTTTGCGGTACAAAATTCTACTCACCTGGTATCGACAATCAAGGGTATTTCCCTGTCCCTAGACGACCTGCTTGTCAGTTTTGATGTAGTTTCCTTATTCGCCAAAGTTCCTGCACCTGACACCATCGCAATCATTGAAGACTTGGTTCATCAAGGACTTAACAATGAGGTACCCCCCCTGGTGAGACACTGCTTAACCAATACATACTTCACTTGGAATGGAACTTTCTACAAACAAACTGAGGGCACCCTAATGGGCTCCCCCCGATCTCCGGTTATAGCCAACATTTTCATGGAGAAATTTGAGACTGACGCCATCCAGACTGCCACTCTGCGCCCAATCTTATGGAAGAGGTACATGGATGACACTTTTGTCATCTGGCCACATGGCCGGCCTGCTCTAGACCAATTTTCGACCACATCAATTCCATACACCCAGCCATCAGATTTACCATGGAAGTCAAAAAAGATGGCAAGCTACCTTTTTTTGGATGTCCTAATAAAAAAGAGACCTGATGGCTCAATGAGCCACTCTGTCTACAGGAAAGCTACCTATACGGATGCTTATCTGAAATCGGATTCCCACCACCATCCATCACAGAAGAATTATCTCATCAAGACTCTGCACAATAGAGCCCAATGCATATCCAACCAGGAGCACATAGGCAGTGAACTCAAGCACGTACACCAAGCTCTTAAGGCTAGTGGTTACTCTGACTATACAATCCGCAAAGCTATCACTCAAACCATGAAGAAGGACCCTCTTGAGGAGCCTTTAAAAACCATCACTTTACCCTACATTGCGGGGATCACAAAAATATCTCCAAAATCTTGAATAAACACAAGATCCAGGTCCGTTTCAACACATTACATAAAATCCGTGATCTGGTTCTGTCTGTAAAAGATGTGATTCCGGACATACAGTACCTTGGTGTCTCCAAACTAAGTTGACTCTGTGATAGTGGTTACATTGGAGAAACCAAACGACGTGTCTCGGACCGCATTCGTGAACACAAAGCAGACATTAAACACGGTAGGACCAACACCTCGGCCGTGGCTGATCACTGTTATAATTAAGTAGGCTCACATGACATTGACTTCTCCAAGACAGAGGTTCTTTGCAAGCCACCTGGCTACCTTGAGAGATTCGTTCATGAGGCTATCCACATATACAAACACAGAGACAATTTCAACCGAGAAGATGGATTCTGGCTTAGCAATCATTGGAAGGATTTGATAAACCATTTCGGGTCTTAATTGATTGTTCACACTTACGGTGGCTTTCAGACATCATACATTAATTTTTAATCTCCCCCCCTCCTCTTTTCCGAACACAGATGGACTCGTCCATCTAAACAAACTGTCAAATCGCTATCCGTGGTGCTAACGTTATAAAATGAATTAAAAATAAATACAAACGGCCACTTTCAAATGTTCTTGCTGTTGGTTTTTACACCTGATGACTGCTTGTGTTGCTGTCGAAACGTCGTGAGAAATTTTATTGTTTTATATATTTTTTATTATTTTATTGTTTCCCTTCAACGTGACTTTACCAAGAGAACCAAGAATATGCCATAAGCTTAATAAGATCTGTGGCTGACGCGTACCCCTTTCCTCGATTGGACGATTTGCTGGATGCTCTAGCAGGAGAACATTATTTTTAGACTCTTTATTGTGCTTACGGGTGTTGTTAAATGGCGAGGGTGGGAGATGCTGGTGCCGGAGGGGGTCGAGTTTTCGCGTGTTACTGCGTGTTGTTTTTTCTCTCCTTATCCTCTCCTCTCTCTCTCTTCCTTTGCGTTTTGCCCCTTCCCCTGTTCGTCACTGTATATATTGTATATTTGGGATGACCTCGATTTGTTTCTTTTGTTTCCCGGTTCTGACATTGTCACATGCTAATCTTCTCATTAACACAGCCGCTGTGGCTGGAGCCGTCTCACATTGACATGCTAATTGCATCTCTAGATCCGCCCATTTACCCTTGGGTTGAGCCCACCTCAAACCTATATAAACTCTTGTTGCAGCAGCTCTTTCGCTATATTTTTCCTGCCTCAGCAGCTCTCCTGCTGTATTTGTCTCACCTGATGACGATTGCTTGTGTTGTGATAGAAACGTCGTGATCTATAATTTTGTCTACCTACGTGGCTTTACCGAAAGAACCAAAGAGTATATCATACTTCATACGATATTACAAAAAAGTGGTCTGGGTGGCTTCCTGCCTGGATTCCTGTCTACCTGCGGCACGCAATGAATGTCGGAGAAAGGGGAGTTACACGCTAGCCAGGCAGACCGCAGACGCACATTTGCATGATGTACATATATAATTAATGTATATTTTATTTCCAGAAAAAATGCCATAAAAATGAAAGAAAAATTATTTAAGTGCTCAATAACCATTTGTGAAATGTCTACCGAAGCAAGTAGCAGAATGGCAGTTGTGTGATAATTTCTCGTGTAGCTGACAGCATGTGCATTATATGTGTCAGTATATGTTATTATTGCAAAGACTAATGATAGACTCCTCTCACGTGTTTCACTGTCCTGGGCTGTGCAAAGCTCACAAATACACGGATCAAGTAATCTGCATAAGGGGGCGACGTTTTCAATTATGGTAGACTCTCGATTATCCATGCTAATGACGGGGAGGACGGCCGCGGATCAATCAAACTCGTAATTTGTCTATCCCAAAAAACACGATTATAGGCATAAATTATGTTTTCCAATTCATGAATAATATCCAGTTTCTGATTTAAAGTTTAAACAACACGCTTCCGGTTATCTGCCATGACGCAGTTTCGTAAATTAAAACTCACAAAATTAATTGGATAAATCATTCACTAACGATTTAAATTTGTTACGTTTTAGATTTAGAACCAATACTAACGATCTAACGACCAAGTGATGCACGTGCTCAATAATAACACTTTCCTGCTACAGCGCAAAATAGTCCACCCACTAAGTGGATAGCAGAGCCACGCCAATCAACATCAATCAAACTCCACCCACTGTTGTAAAGATATGCAACTACTGTACTGTAGAGGTGATCATGTGGATTTCGGATTAACCGGTGCACATATTTGTTCAGTTTAAGCACGTGACTTGTAATAAACGTTACCAAAAATAACAACGTAAAACTGTTTAGATTACTCAATTGGGCTTTTGGAAAATCCATGAGTTATTAATTTATGTCAAAATCTCAGGTGCGCGATTAAGCCGCATATCAGATAAACCGCACACAGATAATCAAGAGTCTTCTGTACTGAAGATCGCATGCAAACTGTGTGCTCATGTTAAACTTAAACTGAGAGAAGAAAGCTGTACAAACCAAACAGAAACATTGACAATAACGCTAATGAGATTGGTTAAAAGACAAAACAATATATTCGTACATCTCAGTATTGTGCCTTAATTGGTTACATGTACGTCGTTTTGTGTCAATCCATTGCAAGATCAGGGCCTCTATGCCACGCGGGTCGTGGAGGGGCTGTTTTGCCATACTTCCCCATGCTGATCAGTCTGATTTTAAGGCGGGGAGCATAAACTCGACCGCATATCTTATCTTATATAGCGCCTTAACCAATGCGCTTTGCAGATAATTAGGAACGGTACAACATCGTGTGTGAATGTAGTGGTGGAAATTAGGTGAATAAAATAGACGAGAGGTAGCAATGGGGACGAATCTGTGATGATGCGTAAATTCGGTGAAAGCAAAATTTATTACAGTAAATGATGACGAATGGATCGAATGAATGGGAAATGAATGACAGCCATACAATGAGAATATGAAGAGGGAATAGTAACGATGGTGTTACGAGGGGGGCATTAAGGGCGTCGTGGGGTGAGCTAGGAAACAATAAGCGAGTTGTGAATGAAGAGCGGAAACTACTGAGCAAAGGTGACTTCTTAATGTGAAGTTTGTTCCAGTGAAGGAGGGGCGAGAAGAGTGAAAGCGAAAGCTGCACTTCCCACTGCATAGTCTCGCAGCCACTAAACCATCTGTTCTGTATCATGCATCAAGGTGAAATACATATTTTTTTAAACGAAAAATTCCTGCTCTCAGCCCAACAGAAGCCGCTCCTCTTTTCCAAGAGGCACGTTCCAGAGGAACGAGGCTCTGCGCTGGCTCAGGGAGACGTTTGGCAACCGGTCTGGGTCTCACAATGCCACCAGAGAGTCTGGCTTGGATCCTCTGGCTCCAAACGGGGTCGTATATTTTGCAGACAACGACAACACCTACAGCATGGACATCTTTGAGGAGGTGAGGTCCGTTTCACATACTGTAGGGTGTGATTGTTTTATCATGTACTGTATGAATTGTTGGTCATAGACATAGGCGGCATTTCGACACGGGGGCGGCAACGCCCCTCTAAATTGGACACCTATTAATTAATTTTCAGTAGTTTAAAATTAATATAAAAAAAGAAATTCATCATATGCACCCGCAATGCCTAATGTGAGGAACAAAGAGAAGTCCTGCCCCCCCTCCCCACCCCCCAAAATATAGAAGTCAAACTCTGCCTATGGTTCAAACTTGACTTGGAGCTTTTGTGACTGCAGGAATTACTCTTTGGTTATTTCGCATAGTCACATAGAAAGAAAATTAATTAAATTATAGCATAAGACATTTCCATTGCAACAAAAGCAATCACCATCAGGTACAAATAAAAGAGAAAACAAACCTAGCAAACTTAGAAATACAATGCAATACAACACAGAGTCGGCAAACATAAGTCAACACCCTACCAGGTTAATTACGTTCTTCCAAAGATTGCTAAATTTGAGAGAGACAAAACACACAACAACCGCCATTCGCCACAAAGTGGTGGTGATGTCACCACAACGCTTGTGTCAGGCTATGTGCACCTTAAGGCCACGTGAAGTGTCGAACGCCTGCTGGCAAGGAGTACACGGGGAAGACCCAGGTGCCATGGGTCGACTGACTGAGACGACTGGCTGATGCACCATCTGTACCCCCTACTGTGCCAACTTGCTGTGCTTTAGCCACCCGGCACGCCGCTCGTTGTTGGAAGTGTCGCTCCTCCGCCCTCCGTTGTTGTTGGAGGGCGACTGCCTCCAATTGCCCAACAGCGTCTTTCACGAGCCTCCTCCACAGAGGCCGATTTTGACACCGCTGGTACCAGTCATCGGCAAGTCCACTCAGCTCCACATCCTTCTGTACTACATCACTCCATCTCTTCTCTAGCCCATGCCGCACCCGTTTAGCCCCCTCTATCCAGTCAAACAAAAGCTGTTTAGGCATGCGGTGACTGGGCATGTGGGCTACATGACCCAGCCAACGCAGCCTTGCCTGCCGGAGGAGCTCACCGATGGGACTTTGCCCAGATCTTTCAAGGATTTGTGAGCTCCTCACACAATCCAGCCTAGTTAAACCTAGGATGGATCGTAGGCATGTCAGCCTAAATGTTTCCAATCAGTGAAGCTGCTCCATTAGGGGGGTCCACGTTTCACAAGCATAGAGAAGGGAGGGAATGACCGTGGCCGAGAAGACCTGAAGCTTCGTGCAGAGTGACAAATCAGGTATCTACCACACAGCGTTACACAACCGGTGAAAAAATAATGCCGCTCGACTGATTCGGAGTGAGACCTCTGCTGTTAAACTGGAGCCGGTCATAAGCACACTGCCCAGGTATGGGAAACTGTCCACTCTCTCCACAACTGCCCCATCACCAATTGGGAGTTGTGGGGGTGGAGTGCCTGATGGTACAAAATACCCAGGCAGGTGCTTAGTTTTGGTGTGGCTGATGGTAAGGCCCCACCTCTTAGTGGCACACTCCAGTTTCAGCGCCGCGCTCGACCTCGCGCTGCGTCCTTCGCCCTTTTTTTTGCGTCCACGTCAACTCGGGACAGTTTTTCCCGTGATGGCATGGAGAAGGCCGTGATACACTCACTCATCTTACACTGACTCACTCACACATCATACACTCACTCACACAACCACTGACCCATTCACTCATCATACACGGATTAACTCATCATACACTCACTCACACATCGTACACTCACACTACCACTGACTCACTCACACATCATATACTGGGAGTGTCATGCTGCCAGCTATGGCTGCAAGTTTGGTCATACATGTTATGTATATCGATTATTGTTCAATTTGAATCACAGTTCCTATGATTACTGTTGTTACATTGTTTTTATAGCTTTATTTAGGTGATTTCGAAAACATATGGTTAAGCCATGTTTCTTGCGGAAGTGCGGCGTTGGCCTGATAACTTTAATCTAAATTGTCTTATGGTTGTTATTGTTCGACTTACATTACACTGGGATTTTTGCACACAGCGTTGTAATATGTTGGGTTTTTTTTTTCTGGAAGATTTTCTGGTTTATCTAGGATGTTTTTGTCGCGCGTCGTCGCTTTAAGATGTTCTCTGTTCATATTTTGTTTGTTCCGGTTGCATCCGACTCAAGAGCTGCATGGCTCACAGGGCTATACCTAACGAATTAAACTTGAAAACTGGAGTGAGCAGCAATTAACAAATAATCGGCATACATAACGTGGTTGACCAATAGGGAGCCATCCCTTGACCACACCCACACATCGATTAGCCTCCCATTGTATCTGTACCAGATGGAAATTCTTCTGGTACAGCAATCAAAGGCTTCGCGAAATACGTGGTTGAAAAATATGTAAGGACATCCCTGTCGCACCCCAAGGTGAACAGGGAGTGGCTCCGACTCCCGGCCACGTAGTTTTACCCGGGCCCGCTCACCATCATGAAGGTCCTTAATGATTGTGAGCAGAGGGTCAGGGACTCCGAATGCACGAAAAACAACCCAGAGCCCAGGCCTCCTGATGGTTTCATAGGCCTTGACCAGGTCAATAAAACAGAGATGTAGGTCTTGTTGGAATTCCCTACACCTCTGCTGTAGCAGATGGACAAAAAATATGGCATCTGTGCAAGACCGCCCTTTCCTGAAACCGCATTGGGGCTCCGCAAGCCTCTCCTCAGCGTGCCTGGCAAGGCGATGTTGAATAACCCTTTCCAGGACCTTTCCCGGCACACTGAGGAGTGAGATGCCCCTGTAGTTGTTACAGTCTGTGCGGTCCCCCCTTCTTAAAGAGGGGGACCACAAGGGAATCCCTCCAATCCTGCGGAACCCATCCAGTGTTCTAGACAGCTGTGATATCATGTAGGGCAGTCTGTGCGCAAACGCCACCCTCCCTCAGCATTTCGCTTGGGAGATCAACTCTGCCCAGTGCCTTTCCTGGTCTCAGACTCCGGATCGCCTTCAGTACTTCCTCAACCGATGGCACCTCAGCCAGCCATTCACAGGGGGTAACTTCTTCCTCCAATATTTGAGGCACCGCAGCCTCAGCAGGGTCATCCCCACTTTGTCCCAAGATGATTTCCATGTCGAGTGATTTCCCCTCCCCCAGGACGTCACAGAAATGCTCAGAAAATCTGCAAACCTGTACCTGGGGGTCGGACATTGGATCACCGTTTTTTCCCCTAATGATGGTAATAGGTGTGGCGCTGCAGGTTACTTTTTTGATGGAGTTAAATATGGATTTGTGATCGCAGGCCATTGAGGCAGACTCCATCTCCTCAGCAACCCGCGACCACCACCCATACTTGCAGTGCCTCACGGCTCTCCGAACCTCCGAGCGAATGCTGCGGTGGCAATTGTTCAGACAGACGAGTTCATCTATACTCGGAACAAAGGAGGGGGGAGATAGAAAGAAAATAGAATGCGGTCTGAAAGTCACCGTAAGTGTCAAAACAATCAATTAAGACCCGAAATGGTTTATCAAATCCTTCCAATGATTGCCAAGCCAGAATCCATCTTCTCGGTTGAAATTGTCTGTGTTTGTATATGTGGATAGCCTCATGAACGAATCGCTCATGGTAGCCTGATGGCTTGCAGAGAACCTCTGTCTGAGAGAAGTCAATGTCATGTGAGCCCACTGAATTATAACAGTGGTCTGCCACAGCTGAGGTGTTGGTCCTACCGTGTTTTAGGTCTGCTTTGTGTTCACAGATGCGGTCCGAGACATGTCGTTTGGTTTCTCCAATGTAACTTCTACCACAGAGGCAACTTAGTTTGTGCCTGGAATCACATATTTTACAGACGGGACCAGATCACGGAGTGTATGTACTGTGTTGAATTCTGACCAGGAACACATTGCCAGTGAACTCCAACACGTACACCAAGCTCCCAAGGCTAATGGTTACTCCGACTACACAATCCGCGAAGCCATCACTCCAACCATGAAGAAGGATCCTCTTGAGGAGCCATTCAAAACCATCACCTTACCCTACATTGCGGGGGTCACAAAAAATATCTCCAAAATCTTGAATAAACACAAAATCCAGGTCCGATTTAACACAGTACATAAAATCCGTGATCTGGTCCCATCTGTAAAAGATGTGATTCCGGACATACAATACCCTGGTGTCTACAAACTAAGTTGCCTCTGTGGTAGTAGTTACATTGGAGAAACCAAACGCCATGTCTCGGACCGCATTCGTGAACATAAAGCAGACCTTAAACACGGTAGGACCAACACCTCGGCCGTAGCAGATCATTGTTCTAATTCAGTAGGCTCACATGCCATTGACTTTTCCAAGACGGAGGTTCTTTGTAAGCCATCTGGCTTCCATGAGAGATTCGTTCATGAGGCTATCCACATATACAAGCACAGAGACAATTTCAACCGAGAAGATGGATTCTATCTTAGCAATCATTGGAAAGATTTGATAAATCATTTCAGTTCTTGATTGATTGTTCACGCTTACAGTGGCTTTCAGACAGCATACATTATAAAAAATGTCGTCTCCCCCCTCCTCTTTAAAAAAAAATAGATGGACTAGTCCTGGGCAAACTGCCAATCGCTGCGCGTGACGCCAACGTTTTTTATAAATAAATAAATGTGCCGTTTTAAAAATAAATTTATGCAAACCGACACACCTGATGATGACCGTTTGAGTTATGGTCGAAACGTCGTGAGAATTTTTTATTGTTTTATATATTTTGTTATTTTGTTGTTTCTCTTCAACGTGACTTTACCGAAAAAACTAAGAATATGAATTACTGCAGTCACGAAAGCTTTAAATCAAAAACTCTAAGTTTGTTTAAGTGTGTTTTCTCTCTCTCTGTGTCCTCGTATTGTAGTATTTCCTGCAGTCACGAAAGCTCCAAATCTCTCATTGACATGCTAATTTATCTACCCACCCTCTCTCTCTGCCCCCCTCTCTCTCTATTTAAGGCCTCGACACAGAGGCGTTGTTTCTCTGTGTGCCTATGTGTGTGTGTCTCTGTGTGCCTGTTAGCTCTCTGCTGATGTGTCTGTCTGTGTGTCTCCGTGTCTGTGTTTTGTCTCTCAAATTTAACAATCTTTGGAAGAATGTAATCAACCAGGTTGTATGTTGACTTATGTTAGCTGACTATCTGTGTTGTATTGCATTTCTAAATTTACTAGGTTTGTTTTCTCTTTCATTTGTACCTGATGACGAATTCTTGTGTTACAATCGAAACATTGTATGCTATTATTTAATTTATTTTCTTTCTACGTGACTTAACAAAAAAAACAAAGCGTAATTTCTGCCTATGGTTGCCAATTATTCTGTGGAGTGTTTAATTCCTGAAGGTACATAAGGTGATGCTGTTTCTAATGAAATAGATTCGCTGGCAATGTAATCCTTCACATAAACGTCTCCCCCCCCCCCATCCCTCCACTGTCTCCTGTGCACACCCCACTCCACACCCCCCACACTCTTTCAGATGAGATACACTACAAACGTGTCCGTGTGGCCCGTGGCGTTTGTGGGTGGCGTGCGTTACGAATCTGTAGTGGTGGGTGCCAATGGCCGGGTCACCGGCTGGAAGGTTGCATACGACCCCACGCGACCATTCGCCATCGACATGGCCGGCTTCGCCATCAACCTGAACCTACTCCTGCAGAATCCCAAAGTAGGTGACTAACACCAGTGCTGTGAGCTACCAGATCGTTGAGAATGCCCAGCATGCACCAATAAACATCAGTTCCCAAAAATAGTCTCGGAGCACCGAGGGTCCTCTGAAGCAGGTAGACTCTGCTCAGGCGATCGACCAATCACAAGTGTCGGATATGAATATATTATAGTCTTGGGATGTCGCCTACTTAGAGCATTACATTTTAGGGTAAATGCTGACATGGACAAATTGTGGAAATTCTCAAATATTGTATTTCACAAAAAGTATGCTAACCAGCATAACTTTTGCATGGTTAAACGTGAGTCATAACATGTGACGCAAACATATCAATGCTTTTGTGGAGAATATTATTAACATAATAACCAAGCAGACAATTAATCTCCTGCCCACAAATGTGGGCCACACATTCCACAGGCAGTGACGGGATAGGGTAACACATACTAGATGTTTTGTTTCTCAACACGCAAATTCACGATTGTGTCCCTGCCGCTGTATTAACCCTTTATTATCTATCACTGTTTCCATGCCGCCAGTCAGAATTTCCATATAGGTCATGCTGAGAGCCCCACATTTGTCTTGTGCCCAGCTCCCACCCAACATTATCCCTGTAGACTGACCAACTCTATCCAGTCAACCCCAGTCATACCCCCCCCCCCAACCACAACTCACGTATAAATGTCTCTTATTATTCTGTCTCGTCCCACTATTCCTCACACAATTACCACTATAGGGTGCCACGGTGGCGAGATGTCAACTACTTCACCTGCTATACATGAGGTCGTGGGTTCGATTCCGACCCTGACACCTCCTTTGTATTTGGAATTTGCGTGCTCTGTCCGTGGTCCGTAGATTTTTCTGAGTCATCCGGTTTTTCCCTACACATTTAGATTTGACGTGTGTTTTGAGTATTTGGCTTCTCTAAATTTCCACACAATTAGCAACTTCATTGAGCTATCATTTGTGGCCAGGTCGCTTCTGAAAAAGAGCTGCATAGCTCACTGGGCCTTAAGTGGTAAAATAAAAAAAGAGCTTAGCTTAATAGCTTAGCTACAGACAGCACGATCTCTACCTATATCAATCATTGTCTCTCCCATTCATTCTCAACCTCGGCTTCTGTATCGCTGCCTCCAACATGTTTACACTACCCGTTTTATCCATGTTGCACATTCTACCCCAGAGGACTACTCACATCCCTTCTACAAACATAATAAAAAAGAAAGATTTAAAACAAGAGAGGAGACCATTCGGTTCCATCTAGTTCAATTCGGTTGTGAGTAGTAGATCCATTCTAGAATCTCATCAAGGCGTTTTGTGAAGAGTCCTGGTGAATCAGTTCCACCGTGTGTCGTCTGGACAGCCGGTTCCAGACTCCCAACATTTGTATCAAAATTTCCTATGCACATGCTAATTGCCCATGTAAATGTATTCTTTTGTAATTTCACAAGACTATTGCTGATAATAGCCTATTGCATCTGCAGGCATACTTCAATTTCCACGCGAGGAGTGGGAACCAGGAGTCCAGCCTTCTCAAGCAACTCGTAACCAGAGACCAACTGGAGCCAAAAGCTGACAACTGCACCAAGGTGAGCCCTTGTCTGATCAATCATTCCGGTCAGATAGGTCAATTTAAACAGTGCATGACAGAGACAATCATGACTGTCACTAGAAAGTTGACAAACTGTACAGACGTGTTGAAAAGAGATAACTATTGGCATCTTTGGCTGCCAAATACACCTCTTTCCTGAATACAGTAAACCCTCGCTATGCGCAAGTGCTGGATTCGCAAGTTTCACATTCATGAACAGTTAAATGTATACCAATTTCCTATTCGCGACACCCGCCAGACTCCAGTATTTGCGAGTGTGCGTAGTGCCAGACCACCGACACCGGGGAGGTGCGTGCAGAATTTTGTTACATTTGTAGTGACTAACTAAGACTTGGAGGCACTTTATTAATGAGCACCATCGGTATTAACACTTAATATTTAGTCCGTCTATTATCGGCAACGCTACTTAGCCAGGACAGTTAGTAGGCTGCCTGACTAGCGGCACCCCGAGATTGTAGAGACAGAGATGACGACGAGAAGAATGGCGACGATGGACTTCAGCAGCACGACAGAGATCCAAATCCAACAACAGCCCTGAGGTCCCCCACAGGGGCCCCTCTTATACCGTCAGCATGGCCTCGCTCCGCCCCGGCCACGCCCCTTTCTGGAACCTACTAGTGGGTTCCTGGTGGGCCCCTTCTGTGACTTTTCCCCTAGATCCCCTCTCGTGTATATCTTGGTCTGCTGACGTCAGGACTGCCGTACGCCGCAGATCCATTTTTCTGCCAGCAGCCAGCGCTATGCCACTACACATTTGAAACTGCAAAGATTAGGCATGTCCCCTCGGCTGCCCGCTTAGTCCACAAGTGTCCCAGAAATCACTCGTACCAGGAACGTAACCCGATTTTTTTCCCTTTGGAACAAAGTTTCTGCACTCAAGAATTCTGCATTCGTGAGCATTTTCAAGAACGTATAGCCCTCACGGATAGAGAGAGTTTACTGTATTTTCCTCTTTATGAAGTGGATGGTATTTTTTTTACACTTCCCATCAGCCACACGTCTTTCTAGCAGTGCATCGTTTCAGCAGCATTTACTCAACTCAAGGAAACTGTGGACCGGTCTTGACTTTGAGTGTCATCAGTTTAGTCGAGTTCCACTGATATTGCACATACTGTAGTTGGTTCAATGCAAGCAATCCTCAGTTGTGCGAGTAGCTCAGAGCCCTGAGCGTTGGGTCAAGTCGAGAGAAGACATGAGATGACTCTCCTCCCAACTGCCCAAACCGCATCCACAGCTCCTATCCCCCATTGTCCCTACCCAGGGGAAGAGGCTAGGTGTTCTAGGGACTGGTATCTGTGTTCGTGTTCAATCTCCTATTTAACCAGGATAGTAAATAAACCCATTGAGAAAAATAGAACATTGTCTCTTGTGCAAGAGTGGCCAGGACCTCCGTGTTTATTCTCACATTAACATAGCCACTTCTGTACCCAGTTACACGCTAATTTCTCACATGCTAATTTCTCACATAAAGAAGTGGCTTGCCACTTCTTTATGACCCTTGGGTTACACCCATTTCAAACCTTTTAAAACAGTCTGCATCAGCAGCAGACCATACTTTCTCACCTGATGATGGACGCTTGTGTTGCGCCCGAAACTTTGTGATTTAATTGAGTTATTTTCATTTTATTATTTTAATTAATATTTTTTTATTTTTCATCTACGTGACTTTACCGAAAGAACCAAAGAGTACCTCCGTGTTTCTTATTTTAAGGAAATGATTCAATCCAGGTTATGTTGGGATTGTGTTGAATGTTATTACATGATATAACTGCACAGATTTGATATACCTATGGTGACTGAGATATATGCCCGGATATGGTCAGTGGAAATGGTGGCAACTAATGGGTGAGGATGATGATGGAGTTAGTGGTGTGTGATAGAAGCAGTGGTGTGTGATGGAAGCAGTGGGGAGTTATGGAAGCAGTGGGGAGTTATGGAAGCAGTGGGGAGTTATGGAAGCAGTGGGGAGTTTCAACAATGGAAAGACGTGCATGCGTGTGTGTCCTTCAGGTGCTGGTGTGGCACACACGAACCTTGAAACCCAACTTTCAGCATGGACGAGGAAAAGGTCTTCTTGACCCCAATATGGAGGTGTAATGACGGATGACTTATTCATGCACGATGCCGGTTTTTGCACGGTTTAATGCGACGTGATGGTTCTGTGGCCTACACAAGTAGCTCACTGCTTTGCGTCACGATCCCTGCGCATACATGGAATTCTACAGATGAAATGCACCTTAACATTTCAAGTGATTATTATTACAATCACACTTGGGTGCTCTGATTGAAACAAAGGCTATTAAGAGTGCTATATTCTCATCTTTATTACGTAGAATTTATTATCCTGGGCTGCTAAGCCCCCTTGTTGCTCACTTGAATATCTGACTCTCAAGTCGAGTTTCTCCCTACCGTGCACTAATACATTTTATTGCGTGGTTTAGTTACATGTTTTATAAATTCCATTCAGAATCAAAATCTTTCTTTATCCCGGAGGATTCTCATGGGCTATAAAGCTCCTTTTCACAGATGTCCATTCCATCGCATGCACATCACATATGCACTCTGCATGGGAAAAGTAATTGCGTTTGCTCGAGATGCAATAATGCGATGTGTGTATCTCGCCTGCTTTGCAGTGCTCACTGTGGCTGCTATCGGGAGTTGTTTACATTGAGCCGATGTATGGTTTCGATTCGCAATGTTATTTTTTATATTCATTCTAAGTAACATGTATAAATCGTAGCGATGAGTACTTAAACATATCTGGCACCTGCTTGCATGAAAGAACAGATCCCCACTGTCACAATTGCACGATTCGACCGTTGTTTATGTGTGCTGGTTTCAGAGCCCAAATCTCCTAAACTATACTGACGTGGAACTCAATTGTTAAAATGATTGCTACCCTAATTTAACTGCAATTAACGAGTCTCCGTTGGAAGATAAATAGGAACCTAAATTTACTCTGCCCAAGATCATAATGTATCCTCCCGTGTAAGCGTATGGGATGTCAACTAATTGCCGATCACATATGGAATGTTTTAAGTCTCAAAATACGTCTCCATGTCAATAAAGTGTGTTTACACATCCCACCAGCCACACGGCCTTCTGGGTGTGCAATCTTTCAGCAGCATTGGTTACAAATATGCAAACTCGAGATCGGTTGACATTCAGTGGCTCATCAGTCATGTCTGGCTTGCTTCAACCAATACTGGTGAACTGTCAGATGTGTATCTCCAAGCACCCTATCGGAGAGTTTATGGGTCTCAGATGTGAGAATTATATTGCCTGCTTATTGTCACTCATTTTCTGCACAACGACGCTCATGATCGTAATAAGTTGCATCGATGATCACTTCACAACCTGCATCGTGTAACCTAATTACCGTGTTGCAGAAGGGGCTCATGGCTGCGTGGGTTGTGTGAAACACGCCGCACAATGAGCAGCAGGCTGAGCAGCAGGCTGACCATGAGTCTGCTCGAGCACTGGGTGGGGGTGGCACTGTGGGACAACGAAATCACCGATCAAAAATTTGCCCTCATATATGGAAATGGGTGGGGTGTCAGTCGAAAGGGGGCGTGTTCTTGCCCATGTCTACTCATCGTGAATCGAGGTTTCATCTGTATCGATTCGGCTCAGTCCATCTGGCACCCAGCTGAAAGTTGATCGGGCAGCCCTCTTTGAAATGGCAGTTTTTTTATCTTAAATTACTTTCTGCGGTTCACAGATCAAACAAAACGGTGCATGCATTGACATGCGATTTTTACACACTTCATTGAATGACGTTTAAAATGAAAACGGGCATAAGAATATTATAAGGAAACAAAAATACCTAATCATAATTTGTGGGTTAATCACGTCATTGCGACTCAGGGTTAATATACAATCAAATAAAGGGAGCGGGGGTCACACGACTACTCGATCCCAAGTATTGCTGGCTAATGTAATCGATTGCCAATGAATCTACATTTTCAACATGGCTGCCTGATCGACGTTGAGCTGAGTGCCAGATCGATTGTGTTAAATCAATACAATTTAAACCCGATTCACAATTCACAATTACCATATATGGGCACACGCCCCTTTCGGCCAACGCCACGCCTACTCCATAAGACCCCTGTGAACATTTTCGATTGCTTCTTTTTTGCGGTGATAGAAAAATATATTCTTTGGGCCTTTCGGTAAAGTCTCGTAGATAGGTTCAAAGAAAATAACAAAAAAACTACGCAACACAAGCGTTCGTCATCAGGAACAGGGGGTTAGCTTCTAAAGGGAAACTGTTTATAAAGGTTTGAAATGAGTGTAGCCCAAATGTCAGCAGCCAATGTTAATGTAAGTGGTGGGCAGCGATCACGATGGTGGTGGGTTTTCCACCAATCAAAGGGCTGGCAGGTAAAAATTTGCATGTTAATGTAAAAAAGTTGAGCGGCCTCCACGGCCAGCGCCCTGAGGTGGCTATATTAATGGGAGAGATTCGCATGTTAATGGGAGACCACAATATCGGGCTCGGCGAGCGAGGTGGCTGTGTTTGGGTGAGAAATTTAATCTGTTAATGTAAAATCAGAGAGCCAAAAATAACAACTAACATCGGAAGGTGGTAGGATGGAAACATCAGCCATTTATGACTTAAACTTGTTGATAACGTCCTGCGATCTACCATTAACATAACCATGTCAGGGTGGAGGCGGCTCAACGATTTTACATTAACATGCAAATTTTTACCTGCCAGCCCTTTGATTGGTGATAAACCCACCACCGTCGCGGCCGCTGCCAACCACTTACATTAACATTGGCTGTTAACATTTGGGCTACGGCCATTTCAAACCTTTATAAACAGTTTCCCTTTAGAAAGTAACCCCCTCTTCCTGATGATGAATGCTTGTGTTGCTATCAAAACGTCGTAGTTTTTTTTGTTATTTTATATGAACTTGTCTACGTGACTTTACCAAAAGACCCAAATAATATATTCATATTCTTTGCAGTCACAAAACCTTTCAGTCAAGAAATATATATTTTAATTACAATTCTTATTGCGTTATGAAGTTACTATAATCTTGGTCATTCTCGTGTTAACGTGGATGATACGTTCTGAGTTATGATTGCAATAATGCTTGTTGTTGTGTTTCTATCACCATGGTTTACTTAAACAATACATTTCATCTTCTTTGGTTCTTTCGGTAAAGTCACGTAGAATGAGAATAAAATAATAAATTGATAAAATAAAATAACAATAATATTCTCACGACGTTTCAGCCACAACGTCGTGAGAATATTATTGTGTTATTTTATTTTATCAATTTATTATTTTATTCTCATTCTACGTGACTTTACCGAAAGAACCAAAGAAGATGAATCATTGCAGTCACGAAAGCTTTAAATCGAAATACATTTCATCTTTGTGGTCTGTCATTTTCCATAAATAAACGACTGGTGATTGTTCTAAACACAGTTTTGTATATTATCTCACTCAGTTTTGCGAGGTTTTTGATGTGTGAGTGTGCATGATTAAATATAACACGAGGCATGAGCATGTGTTGTGCACCAAACTGATAATGGCGAGATGGATCTCAGGTTGCACAAGACCTGGTGAAACAGTAAAATGCTGTCGCACCGGGGTGATGTGGCGTGGCCGAGGTTACATAAGGTAAGGGGGGGGGGGGGTGAGCGGTGATGGGGGAAAATCCCCCATTCCCCCATTTCTGGAAGCCAAGTCTCCACGAAGTCTGGCCTTGACCGGGGGCAGCGCACGAGTTGGCCAGCCAGGACAGGCCAGTTGGCGTGCGGTGAGGGATTAGTCGACGGGGCTGTGCGTGATTGGTGGAAATTGAAGTCAACAAAAAGTCAGGGCTTATTCAATGGTTTTATACGGTTCCGATTGGGAGCCTCTGCACAAGACAAATTTATTGACAGAGGCTGTCAGTGCAAGACCACATTTGTGTATTTAGGGGCCATCCATTTAGTATGTACGCAAAAATCTGTTAAGACTTGACCCCCCCCCCCCTCCCTGTACGCACATGCACTTTTTAAATCCCCCTCCCCCCCACCTGCGTACGTACTCTTGACTCCCCCCACCCCCCGAATCCTATAGAACGGCCGATATTTAATCCACGCAGAAACGATCAAGGATTCATAATATTAACGTGTTTAAGTAAACAGATAGTCCACCGCCGGACTATCTAACTCATTTGAAGGCCAATGTAGACAAATTATTATCGAGGCTTCCCCCCCCCCCCCCGTTTCCTATGCGTACATAATTTGTCAGTAGACCCCCCCCCCCCGGTTCGCAAGGGGCCGTCCACAAATGACGTCACACACCTGGGGGGGGAGTCAAACATTTGTGACGATGTGTGACGAGGGAGTGGGTGTGGGAAATGTGACGTCAAAATGCGCAACTTTTTGTTTAATTAATTTTCATTGTTAACTATTTGATTACTTAAATTTACTAAAGTCATCCTTTTATTAATTCCATGAAGGAGCATTTTGCTTCTCCATGGGAGAGTGGAAAAGCATACATTTGGAACTTTTTTTTAAAATGATTGTTATTAAACATTTTGATCCTAATGATTCTACTCGGGCTTTTCATTCTGTGGAATGAGTATATGATTGTTATAATTACTCTCTCCATTTTGCTTCGTTCTACTACAAAGTGTCAAGTATTTGTTTATAGTTATAATTACTTTTAATCTCCATATATATAAGGCAAAGTTGTAATTGTGTCTGTTCAAAATGTTTAGCGTACTTTCCGACATGCAACAAACTTGAAATTTGCCATGTGGATACTTTCTAGACTGTACACCATGCAAAAATTATTTAAAAAACTCTTTTTTGGGGGGGGGAGCTCAATAATGCATGTTTTTTTTGCACGGCAAGTGAGCTGAGACGTCAAATCTGTCATGTGACCCGCACATGTGGAAGCGTAATGCATTGTAGTGTAGCGGTTAGCACGCTGCGCTATTAACTCGGCGACCCGAGTTCGATTCCCGCACACGACCACCACTGATGACGATTATTTTTACCGGTCCTGGGCCTCCCCTAGGTCGACTCAGCCTCAAACAAGGAACTGGTGTGGTGTGTGAACATCGCCACTGGGGGGGGACAAAGGCGGCCGGGCGTGGTGAATCCAAGTCCCGGGTGAACCCGGGTGGTAAAGATAGTGATCTATAACTCTCTATATTATTTTAGTTGCACAGCGTATTGGGTTGAGGAAAACAGTCTTTAACGTAATAGTATTAATACAAATATTTAAAGGTAGAATATTACAATTAAGTGATCATGGGTATTGCTTTGATGACGGCTCCATCGGCCTACGATTTCCTCAAAGGGGGTGGATCGCGCAACTTTCTGCTGCTGTGTTGATGCTATAGTCAGATGGGTTAATTGGGCTAGGTCCAAGGTAGACCGCAGGTAATTTTGAATGAATAAAAAAATAGAATAACTTTTCTTAACATTTGTTACTTGTTTATCTTTTGATTCGAGGCCCCCTTGTGGCCGACTGGGCCCCTATGCGTGGCATAACGTTGCCACATAACCGCCCCACCCCACCCCACCCATAGTAGCGCCTCTGTCTGCGAGTCTTTGCACATGACCTCCGTGCTTGTGCACCGCCCCAAATAGTGGTGTATTGACAAGCCAGACTGAAGACGTCCACTGATGGTGCAATCGGCGTGTATAGCCAGCAACCCTTCGGGAAGAGGAGACCCGCGATTCAGTCGGTTAACCATAAACCGTCCCTTTGTGTCTTTGTCTGTACATCGGGAATTATTACATTTAATTTGCGAAGTGTTTCACAATGACCCTACATATACGAGGTTAGAGTCAGTACACTAATGATATTCCAGGCATAATCAACATCCATGTTGCCTGGGATGTTAACCTAAATGTGTCTATAGCAAAAGGTAAAGGTGCAGTCCTGCAATTAGTTGCACACGCCACTCCTGATAGAAAAGCCTCCACTAGAAGCAGCTATGGAGAGCCTATCTAGAGGGTATCTGGCCTAATATTCCATGCGGGTCGACAGAGGCTGGGGTTTAAGGAACGTGCCCGTTGTTTCAGAATGTTTACCAGTGACCCATGGGTTGCAAGTCCAGTGCGCTATACATTAACAAATAGCATCTGCAGTAGCATATAGACACTGTACATTTGCACATGCTTAGTAATATGGATTACTATACTGCAAAACTGCAAGATAGTAGATTAAAAAAAACTCGGTATGCGGAGTTCACCAGTTATTTCTGTGCTCACTGTCACAGCACCAGGATAAGCATTTACAGCGTAGATATCTAAATTGTGCCCAATCAGTGGGCCATTATCAGAGGCATGTTTGACATGTCTTAATGGCAGGTACACACTGCCAGACGAGAGGTGTCTCATGTCTACTTTGGCAATGAGTGCAGTATCAATTATGTACATTTTCATGTTTGTAAAAAAAATTAAACTTTTTATTTTACCAGGTAAGGCCCACTGAGCAATAGAGCTCTGTTCATAAACGATCTGGCCAGAAATAATAACTCAAGTGGAATATCATAAATAAATTAATAGCAGCCAAATACTCTGGAGGACCCGGAGAAAAATCCACATAACCACAGGAAGAGAGAACATGGAAACTCCAAATATACTGCAGCCATGATTGGTCAGGATCGCACCCACGACCTCCATGTAATCCAGGCGAGGTAGTTGCCATCTCGCCACCGTGCCCTTGTAGTTTACAGCTGTGATTGTAAGGTGTAACCTTTTTACCTTTTGTCTTTTAGTTCAACAAAAATAGTTTTGATTCTCGATTAATCGCTGTCATACCCCTGCTTGATCGGGGAATGCGGAACATTAAAGTGAGGGCTAATATCTATCTGTTCTATCTGTAAGAGATAGTGCTGCCCCTCTAGCACGTGTGGGTTTCCTCCGACTGCTCCGGTTTTGACTCACACACGACTATCTACAGGACCCTTTTGCCAGTATCAAAATGTTAAGTAGCAACCGCGTGGTTCTACACCTTAACAAATATAATAAATTATTTTAAAAGGCATAAATACCGGAGGAGTAAAGCTTTTTCAAACACCAAATTGACACACATTACAAGGCATCAAGTCTGCATCAACCACAGACTCGTGGTAAAAAAAGCAAATATTAATGCAGTGATGCTGTATGCTCTGTCCTTGAAACGGATCGGCCTGTACCAAAGACAGAATAATTGAAGGCTTTAACACACCA